GATAACTCGGCTAAGCCAAAAGCCCACGTCCTCCACCATAGTTTAGATTTCAGAAGGGGGCCCCATCACTTGTGTAACTCAGTGCGTGAAACCCGTTACACCAACAAACCTTAAAGTTTCGTTCCACCCTCAATAAACGACATCAGAGCTTCATCTAACTTCCTGTGACACAGTACTGCCAGTGTTTAGAAATGGACCATTTCGTTTCCGTTCCCAACGTTGTACGGTTTAATCGCGTCAGAACCCCCCTGCCGGGGTCGGATTCGGGTTTGAAATGGAACACGCAGTACCTCGAAGCAAAACCAGTGTTGTCATGTTGGGAGTTGAACTGGGTTTTCCTGTGAAAGCGGAACCACTGACTGTTCCCGTTTAATTTCCCCAGAGCTGTTCACGACAGAATCCTCGCACCTGCGGACGCTGCGGGTTCTCGATCAGGTGTTCCTGCAGAAGATGAAGGGCGTTTTAAACCAGGAGGAGCTCGGCTGCATCTTCCCCAACCTGCCAGAAGTCTTGGAAGCACACTGTGAGTGAATAGTCCGGGTGAATAGTAAAAAGCAGAGACGGACCTGGGAACGTTGTTTTGGGTCCCTTGGTATGGGGGAGAAGGGCCTTGTTGGTGGATAGCTGAACATGCTAAAAAGATGTTTTCCTGTTGTGTTTTTTTCCCCGCGCAGCATCTCTCTGTGAATCGATGAAGAAACTCAGGGAGTCTCTGATCGTGAATACCATCGGTGACATCATGCTGGCCCGGGTGAGGACTTTCTCCCACCCCCACCCACATTGCATGTCAACCTGATTTTTGTCAGGACTAGCGGTCACCCCAGCAGCACCAGCTAGTGGGAGATCTTGCAAGATAGCATGTAGATGGTAGAAAAAACATTCCAGTCAGGTGAATTGATCTTCAGTTCACAGGTAATCGGCAAGCACTCAGCGTGGCTCTGCAGTTTCCCTGATTATGGGATCAATAAAGTATCTATCTATCCTCTCCCACACTGGCATGTTTAGCCACTGCCCGCGCCTTCTTTGCTACGCCCGGCCCCTTGCTCGTCCGCGTCCTGATGTGTCACGCACTTGTCTGCTTTTTCTCCTCTCTCTTCGTCGCCGCGCCAGTTCGAGGGCCCGGCGGGGCAGGAGTTCCAGGAGAAGGTGTCGCAGTTCTGCAGCCGGCAGGCACAGGCCCTGGAGCTGATCAAGAGCAAGCAGCAGAAGGACCCTCGCTTCCAGCAGCTCATCCAGGTCAGGACCGCAAGCTTTTCCACACCCCCCGGGGTAACACATCGGCACCCCTCCCGCCACCCGCTCGCTCCTCACCAAATAGTTCTGTCAGCTGAGGTCATCGCGCCTTGTATGGCTGGCTTGAGGAGCACAAGATCCTTCTCTCTCCTTCCCTGCCTGGAATAATAATCCCTAATGGAGGACCGGCACAGTCTGTAGCTCGGTTCCAACAATTGACCTGTCTCGTTACCACCACTGCTGGAGATCCCGCTAGAGCAGTGGTTTCCAATCCTGGTCCTGGTGAAAACTGCTGGTTTCCATCCCATCCCACCTTCATTAGAGAACTGAAGCCTGACTTGATCTAAGAAGTCAGGCTTCAATGACTCATCATGTTCCTTTGATGAGTCATTGGAATATTTGCAATTTGGTTTCGAGTCGCACGTTGGGGATTTGTGTTTCATTTGCAGAGGACAACGGTTAGAGCTGCAAAATGTTTAAGAGCAGGGAACACAAGTTCAAAAAGTTCTTCTTATCGTTACGTCAGTGAGGGGTTTGATTGTGTGACCGAGGACTCGACTGGAACAAATGCCAGCAGGACCAGGATTGGGCACCACTGTGCTAGAAGGACATGGCTCTGCATTGCATTAAAAGCCATGTCACACCACATCCTGTTTACGCATGTAAGAGACATTACAACCACGAGGAGGCCATTCCATTGTTTTCTGTTCTTACTGCCAGTACATTTTTCGCTGAGCATTCCTGATGTTTTGGAAAGTTGGGAAGCCTTTTGATGAGCTGAACGAGTTGCAGGAGAAGAACAGCTTTAATTTGTGACGTAGACCTCCATCTAGTGGTAACATGTGGAAACACACTTCAAATGTTCAAGCTGGGCTGCTTGCAGAGAAACAAACGTGTTATTTGGTGTGTGGTCACTAGTGTTGGGCCAGGTTTTTTTGATTGAGGTGCAGCTGATGACTTGGGTGTGCACTCGTGGGTTTACATCGGAAAGAGACGCTTTTCCCGAAAGCATTGACATGCTCAGGAGTTTTAAAAGTTCTCCAAAATCTTGTGTTGTTTTATTCACCCCGTTTTGTTTTTTTTCTGCATCGAGCTGGCTGAGAGCGCAAGTCTCTCGGGTCAAAGTGAAGTTTCACCTGTACTCACTGTGGTGACTCAACGTGCTTCATTGTCACGGGTCTTAATCCCGGCTCTCGCTGCCGCCTGGCCATCATCAAGTCACCCCCGATGTGTTAACCGAGTCCTTGGTCTGGTTCCTGGTTTGCGCAGGAGTGCGAGGCCAACCCACAGTGTCGGAGGCTGCAGCTGAAGGACCTGCTGGTGTCCGAGATGCAGCGACTGACCAAATACCCTCTGCTGCTGGGCAACATCATCAAGTACACGGACAGTGAGTGATCGTGGGAGACCATGTGTTTATCTGACCAGACGGATGCTTGGAAATAATGGCTGTGTTTACACACACAAGTGGTCTGCAGCCAGTAGATTGCAGGTTCCAGCTGAGATTCGGCCAGTTTTGGCTCTGACGGCTCTCCAGTTGAAACCCGCGTACATTGGAGCGCAACTCCAGTCCTGAAGTAGCTGTCTGGTTTTCCCTCCATCTGCGATTTTAATTAATTTAATTAATTGAGCTGATTATTCCTCTTAGCAGTCGGTTTGTTGTAGGCCTGCATCAGCTTCTAATGAGAAAGAACCTGGAAGCCTCTATAGTAGCCTGACCCTTGATGACTGGAGTCACCCATTCCTGTCTGTACTGGTCTCAATATCTCCAATGCACTCTGTCATGTGCATCATCATAGCCTTTCGGTCTCGTCTGGCTGCCTAATATCCACTACTGAACTGCTGCTTCTCCTACTTTTCTAATCTTTCAACCCCCCCCCTGCTTGGGAACTCTCTCTCCTGCTTGCTCTCATTTTCTTTTCCTTGAAAATGGGAAAACCCGAAAACCAAGACTTGCGAGTCAGGCATAGTATGCTACAAAATGGGTCATCTCAAGTGTACGGTGTCCAGCCTGAATGCAGTGTGTTCTTCATTAAGACACTGGACCAGCAAGTGGAGTTTCCAACACGGTGTCTACAATGACCAAATGCATGATCACAACAAGGATTCCCACGGGCTCGTTCCCGGGTAGTTCTGTTCTCGAAGATCGCGTACCTGCCTGCCTTTCCGTTGTGTCCGATTCTCTCGCCACCTCTCCCTCCCACAGCCTCCAGCAGCGACCTCCCCTCCTTGCAGCGTGCCCAGGACTGCTGCCGGGGCATCCTGAAGAACGTCAACGAGGCGGTGAAGGAGACGGAGAACCGGCACCGGCTCTGCCAATACCAGCGCAGGCTGGACCTCACGGTCCTGGAGCGGATGACCAATCCCATTGCGGCTCAGTTCCGGGTACGGCCCTGCCCCCACCACCCTCCATCCCCCAGCCCCTATCCTTCTTCTCCTTCATTGCTTAAGAATGGCCACCATTGATTTAAACTCCAACCTCTATGTTGGTCCTCCGATCCTTAATGGCGGTCATTTCGTGGTCCTCTGAAGTTAGCACCCCTACAAACAGCACAAACAATGAAGCCCACCACATTTGGTGCTGGTCTGTGCCTTTGACAAATAGTATCTGAGATGCTTTTGTTCCCAGGATACTGCGCCATCTTTTTTCGGGGAGTCACGTGACCCGTCACAGTGGCTGGGGGGTGAGTGACGAGTGACGTCACACTGCGGGGAAAGAAAAGTAGTTATATCTTGGGAACGAAAGCATCCAGAACGCTACTTTCAACAGCACAAACCAGCACAGGCAGAGCACTAACGAATGAGGCCTGTTTGGTTCTCCCCACATTCTCTCTGGGGCAGTTGAGTGACGTCACGTCCCCGTAGGAATGAGGCACTACATCTCGGGAACGAAAGCAACACAAGCGCTACCGTCAATCGCACGAGCCGACACACGAACGGAGCACAGATTTCATAGTGCTGTTTGTAGGGTTGCCAACTTCATGGAGTTTCATTCCTCGTGGTGGGTTAGGCAAATTCTGTCTGAGTGTCTTAGGTAATCAGGTGGGAAATCGGGCCTCTGCTGGCATGAGGGACGTCCTGCTGTCTAACTAGCCCTTTTGTGCCCCGCAGAACCTGGATTTGACGACGAAAAGGATGATCCACGAGGGTCCGCTGACATGGAGAGTCAGTAAAGATAAGGCCTTAGGTGAGACCTTGTCCTCCCCTGTGTTAGCCTGTCCTGTCTCCTTTATGCCCTCCTCCACGGTCTTTATTACATGGTTCCTTGCCCTTGTTGAAACATCGTCTGCAAGCAAGAAGAAGCTGCTGAGCCCAAATCGCTTGTTGCTAAGCGACCCAGGGATCTCATCCAGCCCTTTCTTAATAGCCATGATGGCACCGGCTTCAACGACATGACCGGGAAGTTGGTTCCAGAATCCCACAACCCCTTCTCCCGTGTCAAGAAAGGCCTCTTGTGCTCCGTTTTTTTTTAAAGGCTCTTCCCCTCACGTTCCCTTTGTATCCTCCGGTTCTCCAAACCGTGTCTCTCGCCCCCAGAGATTCAAGCCCTGCTGCTGGAGGACATCCTGGTCCTGCTGCAGCGCGTCGACGACCGGCTGATCCTCCGCTGCCCTTCCAGGAACTTGGGGGGAGGGAACAACGATGTCAAGATGTCCTTCAGCCCCATCGTCAGTCTGGACTCTTTGCTGGTCAGATCCGTGGCCACCGGTAAAGCACCGTTTGTCCTCTGTGGCTTTAAATTTATTTAAAAGCTAGTTAAGGTTTACCGTTTAGCGTCCGTTTCGTCCAGTTTCACAAAACAATTTGGAAGTTGCGGTGAGGTGGGTGGCTTGGGCACGAGCACCCTTTTTAGATTTAATTCCGAAAGACATTCACATGCTAAAATCCGTTTTTCTTCAAGTTCCTTCATGAGCCTAAGTGACTCCTAAGACTGCAAGATCCTGAATGGGACTCTTGGAAGAAGAGGTTGAGTGGTTGGGTTCCGTTACAGGTTATTCCCTGCAGGTATACTTGGGTGACTGGCGAAAATGGTGGAAAACTGTGGAAGGATACGCATGGTGCTGTAAGAATTTAAACCCACAAATAGCCCCAATTTAAACATGCTGGCTCAAAGGCTCCTCCGTTAAGCACCAACCCCCCCCTCCTCAGGAAACCCCATCATCCCGTGTTGTTCCATTTCTCAGACAACAAGGCCCTGTATGTCATCAGTACATCCGAGAGGCAGATCTACGAGCTGGTGGCAGGGACGTCGTCCGAAAAGAACACGTGAGTACTTGCTCTTTTTTCACTTGGCCCATTTTCCCCACACTTTTTTCTAGGATTTTTCCTGGCCTCCCCATCTTCTCCATTGTACTTTTTTCCTAATGGATTTTAACCTTTTCTGTTGTCCTTTTTTATTTTGCCTTTTTCCCCCCATGTCTTTTCTTCTAGTTTCCCGGCCTTCTTATCCCTTTCTTCTACCGTCTGGTCATGCAGTAAACCCTAAAGTGCACAATTATATTTATTGGCTTGTGGATGTTTTAGTGCTACTATATAAAAGTGTTTATATTTCCATATAAGCATGCAACTGTATGATTATATTCTGTCGCACGTTTTGTATTGCACATATACACTGTGTACAGTGCAGTCCTGAGATCTGCCGGCGACATCGCTGTAATGAGATGTCATGAAAAGGCAGAAACGATTTCGGCCCGGTTAGTCGGCCCGTGGTGTTGCAATATAAAATAGATAAGTGCCCGAGTACTCTGTCACAGCTGTGATGTTCTGTAGCAATGCGCCGGCCTGATGAATCGTGGTGGTGGCCGTATAAAACGGATACGTGCACCATCACAATTCAGCTTCAGAGCAAAACCCCGTGGAACTACAGAGCGGAGTGGGACCCAGACATGTAAAATCATAAGAAAAGAGGCCAGCAGGAATTCACCCAGAGCAAGGCGCAGCCCTTGTGATCGGCCGTGTAGGACAGTCCTTGTTGTGACTGTGCGGGACCCTCCCTAGCACTCCTTTGGAGAAGAGGTTTCCGCCCGGCTGAGGGAGGGAACTGGCCTTTTACTTTGTCTTCTTGCGTTTGCAGCTGGAAGGATTTGCTGGAGAAGGCCATCGCGCTGGCTTCCCGCTCTCCGGGGCCTGCCGAGCAGAGGGAAGCCCCCGTCACGTAAGTTCGCCCCTCCTCTTGTCCCATTCCCCGAATGGAGCCTGTGCTGTGTGTTGTCTGGTATAGCTGTCTGAATTCAGCCCCTCTGGGATCCTTACTTATTCCAAACTTCCTGGCTGTGGGCTTGCAGACTGATATCTGTCCTCTCCCAGGTCATCCAGTCTGGATCTGGACACTGCAGTCTCACCTGGAAGTGGAGTTTACCAATCAGGTATGAGATCGAGGCGGAGGGGAGAGGGGGGGGGGGAGAGGGGGTTGGAGTTTTGAAGTCTTACGTCTCCTTCTTTAGCTCCTGCCTGGGGTACTCAGAAATTGAGTACCGTGAATGTTGATTTGTTAAACAAGCTGGTGGAAACTTGCTAGGAGTTCTTCTCGACTTTGTCATGCTCTCCCTCCCCAACTCCCCCCGTAGAAGACTCTCTGACCGAAAGTTCGGCTTCCATGGAGACGGAGCCCCCGGAGGATGAGGACGACGATGTTCTGACGCCCACCCCCCCGGCCGACCCCTCGGTCAACGGCGGCGATGACATCAGTGGGCCGGTCGCAGAAATTCTCCCTCCCCCGGCGTTTGAGAGGGGGATAGCCGATGCGGCTTTGGATGACGGTGAGAGACAACTTTAGCATCACGTCGTAGTGGTTCGATCTGGACATCTTTGTTTTGGTTTCGATTTCATGGCAGCACTATGACAGGCACCCCAACAGAGATCGTCCACCCTTCTCCCACAGATCCACGGTTCTGCAGTTTTTCATCATTTTACATCACCAGAAGCTCAAATCTGGTCGCGATTACGGTTGGGGTTCTGAAATACTGAAGGACTTGGATGCATAGATGTGTATAAACCAAAATTGCTTATAAAAACTTATAAGCTAAACTGATACTAACACAGACTCTGTATCTACGCAAGTTAAAGTACTGTTGGCTCTAGTTAATTGTTTTATTATTTGCAAAACTGAGAAATAAAAATGATTTTAATTGCAATGTTGGTCTGGATATAGAAGGGCAGATGGTGCCTCTCTCTAGGCCTGTATCTTCCATTACTTCCAGGGAAGTGTGCCTCCAGATCTGTTCCCTCTGTGATAATGTATCCCCCTCTCGCTTTGATTTCAGTGGAGAATCTCCGGCAGCTGATTTTTAGAAACATTGACGATGGGTGGAGCCAAGACTCAGACGACACGCCCACCAACGAGACAGCCAATGAGACACCGCGCGGAATCAGCCCCTTTCAGGAGCTCGCAGAAAGAGGGCGGGGAGAAACTGGAAGCCACGCCCCGCCTGTTTCAAACAATCAATCAGAGCTCCAAGAAACTGAAATTCCATCTCCACAGTCCCAGTTACCCATTAAAGTGGTCCGGAAAGGTATTCACACTAAAAATTTTAAGTTAAACAGATGCTGAATGTGCAATACTTCTAGCCTCAGCAATGGATCCAAAGGTATTTGTAACTGCTGTGTGAATCATTCTACAGTTTTTGGACCAGAAATCATCGCTGGTACAAATTAAGCTTATTGACCCTTGTGAGCATGAGAACTCACTAGAAAATATTCTGTTTTGGACATGCAAGACTAACCAGTGCGTCAAATGAGTTTTTTCAACTATCTGCACCTGAGGAAACTGCAGTGCATGTGGTAACTCGGCTTCTAGTTGGGTCTCCACAGTAACTCTTTGGCCAGAAGAGCACAGCTAAAGTGGGATGGGGTGTATCTTGGGTGCAGCCACGGAGAGCTCTGAAATCTTGTCCGCTATCCCACGAGGTGCTGCCCAAAAATCACTAACTCACTTCACAGATGTGTTTTTATTTGCTGTCAACTTACATGAAACTGATTCAAAAAGAAACCCACAGTGGGGTGCTTTTCAGGCGCTGGGGTTGTATATGCTTCATCTTCTTAACTGATCAAAATCCCCTGGCTAAGCTCATCCTAGACAGAATAACACAAGGGACTGAAACAGTTGAATATATGACGAGGAAGTGTAACGTGTGTAACAATGAGGAATCTCACTAGCAATTTGAGCACTTGATGAAGCTGAGCTGACGCCACGTCCTATGTGCTTTTCTGCCTCTTGCCCTTTCTTTTTCTGGTACTGTGTTGAATTGGTTGCATGTGTGACGTGAGCTGTCGTCCGTGAAATTAGACAACCAGTTATTTGCCCGATTTCAGTAGTTGTCCAAGAGTTTTTCCACTTGCAGTGTTAGGGGGGCAGCTGCTCACTCTGTTGTCCAACTCTGTGCACCAACCAGGCGACAGTCGTGTAGCTCTTTCTGTGCATGTGCTCGGGGGTGATTTTCTGTTCTTCCGGTTGTGGTGATTTTAATCTTCTCTTTCTTCCTGTTTCTCCTACCCTCCACCCCAACCCCCTCCCCCCAATGCACTCACACCTCCCTTCTTCCTCCCCTTTTCAATCACACTGTCTCTTGTGCACAGCTGAGGGGGCGGGCACTTCTTCTCTCCCTGATGACATCACTGATGATGTCGCCACTGACTCCAGCCAATCGGCCAAGTGCTCGCAGGCCAAGGAACAGAGAGGCCGAGCCAGTGTAGATGGTAATAGGAAGCTATGCATTGGAAAACAAATCCTTTGAAAGCTCTCGATTCCAATCTGAGGAAACGCAAGATATGGAAAATCATCATCGTTTTACTGGGTCTTGTGCCATGGACACATTTTCAAATTAAAGCAAAGTTTGTTCTGCATGTCCTCAATGTTAGGTCGGCTACTGATGTTGACATTATAATACTGCTGTGTACATGAAAGAAAATATTTTACATGACCAATGTGCCTTTAAAATAAGTGTACAATAATCCAGCAGAATGTCGAAAGTTCAGTGCAGGACTTTAATCGAAATCTCGCACCTACAAAGTAAGATATACTGGAGAAATTGAAATTTTAAACTGGATATTATTCACAGTTTTGAAGTTTCCTGTACATTGGGGATTACAGTCAATATTTAATATTAAAATATAAAAGAAACTGGTCTTAAGAACAACGCAGCTGTCTAAAGGTGACCAAGGTATCTGTATGCAACAAATGCGTAGGTTTGATTCATAGTGAAACATTGCGCTGGAGAGTTTTACAGCTGTTGTTCCTGATTCTAGGCAATATGTTCTATCTGGTGATGCCAGAAAGCCTAAAGGAAAGCAGCACAGACGATCCCCACACGGACACGGAAAGCTCACGGGCGCGAAATGGGGAGTCGGACACTCGGGCGAAACAGGATGTGACGTCATCGCAGCGGGGCCCTAGCGCCAGTGCTGCTCCCGCCGCCCCCGCGCTGGGGACGGACCGCAGCCAGCTCCGCCTGTTCGGCCAGGCCCAGCCGCCCCGGGCGCAGAGACACGTCATCAGAAACGTGGACGAGATATTCCAGGCTATCGAGGAGCTGACCGCCAAACTGCACAAGTTAAGGGTAAGCGAGAGGTTCCCCCGTCAGAGCTGCTGAGATCGAGTCCGCCAGCCTCTGTCAGGACACCCGACCGCGCGAAGAACGTGCGAAGGGTTACGAATGAGAAAAGGCCAGTTAGACTCATTCTGCCCATTTGGTAGTGAGTAGGTAATTATTTTGAGGATCTCATCTGATGGGCACTTGATAGAAGCCAGAGTAGCAGCTTAGGCAATGTAAAGGCCTGTCCCTACTCCCACAGACCTGGGTGTGTTCCATCCATCATCAAATGCACTTTGCAATGTCAGTCTTAGCATTTTAATTACTAGATTTACTCTTCATGTACCTCGAGTCAGTTTATTACAGGATCTAGCCACTGAAGAGAACAAAACTAAATCTCTTGAGAACGACAATAAAAAACCTGGCTTTCTGTTTCCTTTGTACTCTACTGTCGTGGTTTAGAAGCTCATTTCGTGAATTACACTTCTTTTGCACATGTGTTTTTCACCTTCACTATGGGCTTTTGTTTATTAAATGGAACATTACTGTTTTAAGAGCTTTTCATCTGTAAATATTAAGCTATGTCCCTCACTCACCATCCATAACACCCAAAATCACACAATAAATGGGAAATGTGCACATCTTGATCAATGTGCAGTGTTGTGGGGAACAAGTCATGTTGTCAACACTGGTAATTTAACTAGCTTCCTTTAGGACACAGCTGGATGAGATCCATAGAACAATGAGCTAGTCAAAAAAAACAAGCAAAATTGATCCGAGGTGTTAGTGTATGTGTGTGTCTGTGTTTGTATCTGTGTGCGTCCTGCAGCGGAGTGGCGTCCTGTCCAGGGTCTATCCTTGCTTACACCTTTTGCTTACTGGGATAGTATCTAGCTCCCCCCATGACCCTGAATTGGAAAAAGCAGTTAGAAAACAGATGGATGAACAACCAACAAGCTGTAAGACCCGAATAGTGTTACCTTTCTTGTGTTGGTGCCTCTTTGGCCTCCAGAGGGATCAGAACAGAGCTCAGGTCCATGCAGGCGTATATATCTGAAGACCTGAAAATCCACAGTACATGGTTTCTGTTCCGGGCTCATAATCTTCCACCTTCTTTCAGGAAATTGAAGTGGCTCACAACCAGCTTCTGAAAGGGCTGTCGCTACAGTCTGCCAATCAAGAACGTGACCACACCCAGGGAGAGTCCACTGTTGTCCGGACACGCCCCTTTGACCGGGGCGCAGGGGACGGTAAGAAAATTTGAATTGAATTTCGCTCTCGTTTTCTGATCTTAAATGTTGGAATCGCCAGGTCCTTGATCCGACACCCCCCAGGAAACCTAACGGGAGCTTTGGTTCATTAGCATTAATTATGCTCATTACCAAATGAGTGATTTACGAATCCATTCACCATTAACGGCACATGCACTGGACAGTGCTCATCCCTTGGGAAGCATTTCATGAGGCTGTCCTTAAATCTACTCAGTTGTTTCAATCAACCTCCTCTTTAATGGATGGCTTTAGTTTCTGACATATGAGTCATATTTTCCTACAATATGTTTGTTACAGGGTGGAACAGTGATGCATTGGGTAGCATTGCTGCCCCCAGCTCTAGGGCCCTGGGATGAATTCCTGGGATGCCATCTGTGTAGACATTTAATATTCCCCCTGTTTTCGCATGGGTTTCCTCTAGGTGCTCCAGTTTTCTCCCACAGTCCAAACACATGCTGGTAGGTTAATTGGCTTCTGGGGAAATTGGTCCTGGTGTGGCTGTGTGCGTCTGCCCTGTGATGGACTGGCGTCTCGTCCCAGAGGGAATCCTGCTTCGCACCCCTCGCTGGCTAGGATAAAGTCTGGCTCCCCTGCAAGCGAAGCGTGCACTGGCCGAAGCGGTGAGGAGCGGATGGATGGTTTTGTCGTGGCGGTTGTTTTTAAAGCTCTCTTTTTCGTCTCTTAGGTAAAGAAGGCGCCCCGGCCGAGCTGAGTCAACCTGAAATTCAGTCCACCGGGTTCTGACCTTTCCGGTACGTTCCCCCTCTCCCCGTCCCGTGGGCGCACGTAGAGGAGCGGACTCTGGGAATGGTCGGGAAGGCGGAAAGATCATTCCTTTTGCTCCGGACTCCGAGCTCCCCTCTCCTTTTCGTTTCCCTGCATGTACTTTGCTTGAAAGCAAACCCTGGAGGAGGGAGGGGGACAAGCAGCCGAAAACATGAAGGAAAACTGAAAGTCAGTTCTATTGACTTGAGCCAAGTTTTGGAGGGGGACTGAAGAGGAGGCGAAGAAGAAGAGGGCCGTGGCGCAGTGTTGTT